GCACCGGGCCTTTCTGCCGCCCCCCCTCCCCGGCTCTCTTCTCAGGCCGCGTCCCGCAGGCCGGGGAACCCCATCCCGCCCGCTGCCCCTGGCTTGGGCGCCTGCCAGGCGGTTGTTCCCCCGGGCCAGCTTCTCCAGCAGCCTGCCGAAACGCCAGAAATAAGCTTTTCTTTTTTTTTTTTTTTAAATTAAAACTCCTCCAAAATCTGAACGCCTCCTTTCTCAGCACTTCCCAGAACTTAATGCTTTCTGGAAGAAGTGCGAGGTGTCGTGGAAGTTGGCAGCACCGCTGTTGGCTGTATCAGGGCTGCTGGAGCTTTCCGGCAGGAAAATCCCTTGGCTGTGCTGGAGCGACTGGCAGCCCACCAGCGCGTGCGGCTGCGTGCGAGGGTGGACACCTGTGGGCGCATGACGGGCCTTCGAGCGATGCGCTCGCGGCGGGGCTGCACGAGGATAACACCGCACAGCTCTTCTTGCGCATATGTCTGTGTTTGCGTCGGAGTATTTTTATACACGTACATGCAGGCAGAGCAGATGGCAAGCGTGACTGTGCATATTTGCTCGCATACGTGCATATCTGTGGGTATGCATGAATCTAGGTTTTGTAATGCAGTGAAGACAGAGCAACTGGAATCAGTGTATGATTCACAGTGCATGCATATGTCTTTTATAGACTGTGCATTTCTCATGTAGGTCTCACTGCTGCATTTAGGTACATTAGAAGAGTTCAGCTTCTTCTTTTAAGGTAAATGGTTCATTTTCTGTCATTATTATCTGACCAGTGTTCTATTCTAAATGTACGGGTCTTTAACATAAGAAACAAAAGTTTCCCAGGTTATCAAAATTTCATTCAGAAACAGCAGAGCAGTTAGGTTACAGGGTGGTTGGCTTGTCACTTTGGTGTAGCTTCTACCCTTACGTATTTCACTTGTCACTTTCCTAGATGTAACCCACAAATGATGGTTCCCTAAAGGAGCTGTATAGATTTTCAGGGAGTACTCGGATTCTGCAGCCTGGCATTTGTCTGCACTGGAGATCTTGTCTTTTCTAAGCTACCTGGGTTTCTAATTTGTTTATGTGGCATGTTCATCATCAGGTCTAGGCCTAGATCTATCATGCAGGTATCGGTCTCCAGGCTTGTGCCTCTAGTGTTTTGAGTTTCAGTACGCCGGCTTTTTACATTGCTTCAGCAGCTGATTTCAGCGCTTTGCTATTTTTAAGCCTTTCTGTAGCTTCAGACATTTTTTTGCTTTAGCTGATCTGTATTCTTACTTTGCAAGTTATCCCCTCTAGGCCCATTAGAAGAATGAAAGCCACTCAGCTGCTTCAGACACCACCAAAATTGCTGATCGTGAACATGTTCATGGTGTCTTTTATGCATTCATTGTATCTTCCAGCTGGGAGTGGGGCATGCTGAATCTGATCCATTTGCAATGTCATGCCAAGTTACCAGGTTTTGTGAACAGTGTCTCCAGGTCTTTCTTTACCTCCTGGAATACTTTGACCTAAGTAGGCTCTGCCTTATTCAGACTGGTATTTTGTAAATGTGACCCATGTCCACAAGTAACTTGGTTGGCATGAGAGCATTTTCTCAACCAAAGAATTCTGCAGCGTTCATCATGGAGATGAGAACTGACGCTACCTGGGTCTTGATCCCAGAACTCACTGGTAGGGATGATCCATACCAAAATTCCAGGGCATTGGGAATGTTGTGTAACATGAAGCTCCCAGCAGCTCTGCATCCTCCGGCGTTCTTCATTTGTATAGGGGCAGTACAGAGGTAGAAGTCTGGAATTCAGATTATTAGCATACTTTCAGGCAGCTAGTGAAGTCATGAGTATTTATTTGTGGTTGTGAAATGTCAGGGTTGTTTCTCCCTTGCTTCTCATTGTTTGATAACTCAAAATTGGAGTGTGTTCTGCTTGCACAACCAGCCTTAGTCTAGTTGTTCCTAAGAATTTCTAAAGGTAATGGCTATTACAGGTGCTTTTCTAAATACTTTAAAAGACTTCTTGCTGTGTCTTTTGTCAAGCTACTTTTCCTGGCATGGGTTGACATCAAACTGTTCTTGTTATTCGAGGAGCAAGAAAACCATCTTCCACATGGCAAGCATGTTCAGTTTAGAAAAATAAAATGGTCAGCTTCCTTCCTCCAGTGCTGTCAGCCTTTGGTGTTGATAAGTCAACAGTAAGGCTGTAATTTAGGCACTTACAATGTTCTAATGTAAGAAACAAAAATTACTCAGGACCTGCCCTGTACTGGAATCATGGAACTTTTCAATCAGAAGTAGCAATCAAGAGTAATTTTCCCTCAACTAAATGAGAAGTTGTTTTACCCTTTTTCTCTTGGCAACGGGGCCATCGAAGGATTACCTTGAACTATTGATTTTATCTCAGGTTGTGTGGCTTAGTCACCCTTATTTAATAAGACATCTTTTGATCCGTATCAAAGAATGCTTTACTACCTGTAGTAAAGACTTTTGGCCCAGAAGTATAGCCATGTGGGCCTTACCCTGTGCACACTATTACTGGTTGACCTTAGGGAAATTTTTTTTATTATCCATAGAGTGGCTGGAAATGAAGAAACTTCACCTCTGAGCTGCAACAGCCCAGTATTTATTTTTTTTTTTAAGAATTCACTTGCTTAACTTGTTATTCTGGTGTCCTACAGCCTGTTTAAAGGAAAGGCTGATGAGCTGTTTGGGAAGCGTCTCACTCTCCTCCTTTGTCTAAGAAACATTCCTGTGTTGTGAAGTCACTTGTAGTTAGTCAGAGCATTGTAGCAGATACAGTTTACCTTAACTTTCCCATTGAAGTTGAAAGTCTAGTCAGATTTGTCACTACTTTACTAAACTAGTTTATTACAGATTTGTTACTCGTTTATTACATCTAAGAATCTCATGTACTAATATGAGCATTCAAAACAAAAACTGACGATGACCTTCACTGGGGACTTTCCAGCTGATCAGTCTTAAAGAAATTGATTAGTCCCACCTTCTCATCTGCTTTATCCACAGTCATTCTACTATCAGTTACTTCACAGCCTTACAGCCTGATAATTACCTTTTTTTCCCCCTTGTTTCTCCCTCCCCCCAGTAGTATCCATCAAACCTCCTGGCCTCTGGAAGTCTTCCTAAGCTTCTTCCCTTGGTAGTCCTAGGGAACTCTGCTCAGGTGCCTGACAGATTCCTTCACTTTGGAGCCTCTGCAGATTTTTCCCTACTAAATGCAGTGGGATACTTCTCTCAATATAGGAAGTCAGTAGCCACCCAGGCTGTTAATTGCTGATGGATGGGCCAAGAGGGACTCATTCCCCATTTGGAAGGTGCTCTTCATTATACGGGGCTATGGTTTCCTTTAAAAACATAATGCCTTAGAACATTTTATTCAAGTGGTTGTTTTTGCTCTAGTTTGTGCTGTTACTGCATTTTTCCTTTAGGATATACCTCTAGAATATCCTACTTATTTCTTTGCTGCTTACTTTCAAGAACTGAGAATTGTGCTGACGTGATACTTTTAGAAAAAAAAAGATTATGATTCTTGTAGTTGTTTGGTGTAAAGATCATTTTGACGGGTTTCTCATACAGTCATTTCTTTCACCTTGAAATGTGAAGGTGGCTCACAGCTTTCTGTGTGGAAAAAATGATGTTACTTGCTGGGATTTTTTTTAATGGGAGTCTCCTTATAAGCTGAAATGAAGAGCTGTCAGGGTGACCATGAGAATGGATTCCAAGTTCATGAATGTCAAAAATTAGTTTAAGAAAGTGTCTTGCATTCTAGTCTGCCATCACTTTCTTAACAGATTGAAAAGTTCCAGCTACCTCACATCAGTAAGCAGAAGGTTTACATGGGAGAATTCAGCTAGAAGATTATTTTCAAACATGAATTCCTCTTTCTTCAGTTGTTTTCCTTCCTCATAAATTGCTACCTATGAATAATTTAGCTGTTGTGGTTTCACAAGGCACTCTTTGCTGAGGTTTCTGTACAAGTGATTTGTTAAACCTAAGAGATGCCTGGCACTGTGAACACTGTCAATACTATTAATAATTCGATAAGAGGATTTTTTTCTGAGAAATCCATGTGCTTATTATCAGTCTGTCTGATCAATTGTTGTTTTCTAGGTTGAATATAGCTTTCTCAAAGAAGTCTAGTGTTGGAAAGTTGTACCCATGAGGGTACTAGTCCGTCGAACAGCAGTCAGTAGGGACTGTCATACTGGTGTGATGTAGTCAGTTCCCCTGTAGAAGAGGCAAACTGCTTAGAGCCAGTTACCGCTTATGGGAGGCTTGCTGGTTCAGCCAAGCGAGTAATATGTTGCAAAGTCATCCTTGATGACAGCTGTGGCTAGAGTAACAGGCAGAGGCACCAGCAGAGCGTTGCAACTATTGCCATAAAATCCTTTCTATTTTAACAAATGTGTCATTTGCTTCTCTATGAATCCTACCCTTTATGATTTAAAATTCCAAAACATTTAATGCCAAATGCAGTTCATGCTAGAGGCTTTCTAATGACTTTCTACTTTTGAGATTCATGGTATAGCTCTATATACCATAGCTCTATATACTTTATAGCTCTGTGGTTTATTCCATGGATGCCAGTTCCCAAGTTTGCTGGTACCTGACATGCATTGTTATTTTGGGATCTTTTTTCCTGCTCTTAGCATTTTTAGTTTTCAGTCCAATAATTGCTGTGAGCTGTAATTCACTGCGTTTTTTTAAAATGTCAAAGTGTTTCTTCAAAGACAACCTCTCAAATACTAGCTGAAAGGTGGGACAGATTTTCCACCTGTGACCATATTTGAACAATGCAAGGGGATTAATACTAAGACATTTTAAGAAGAATTTACACAGGAGAAAATTAATCCCATTTTAAATGTGTGATAGAAACTGGTGACAGAAAGGAAACCCAGAAATGTCCTTCGCTGCCTGTTAAATCCACTTTTAATGATCATTTGTTTTGAAATATGTAGAGGCTCAGATAGGTTTGGAAGAATTGGTTCAAACGGGTTTTCACAATTTGAAGTTTTCCTGATTTGTTTACTTGTTATGACAGATCTACTGCCAGTTTAATCTGAAACGTTTTCTCCTGTATCTTTTTTAGAGCAAATACTTTATTTAATATTTGGATCAAATATAAGCCTCGACTGCCAGAGTGGTATTACAATGAAAGACTTCTGAAAGTTGGTGATTCCCTTGCTCAGATCAAAGTAAGTCATATGAAAACAGAAAAGGCTCAGTCACAGTCTTTGTTTCATTATCTTTCTGTGCTGCTTTAATTTTTAATCATATTTTACTGGAAGCTGTCTAGAAAGTAGCAAAAACTTTTACAAAATAATTCCAGTGAGAGTTGATGGTTTGTATCTCTCACTTATTATTGTAAAATTACCCTGATTTTTGGATACATTTGCTATATCTGTATTTTCTATGCCTCATTGCCTTTTTAAACACCCCAGAATCTTTCTTTAATATTTGTTTCATGTTTCAGCACAGTAGAGTACAGTATCTGACTGTGCCTGTAGATGCTGCTTAAGTACAAAGTGACAATGGTAGAGCAGTGGTGATTTGTTCCGCTGAAATGTCAACTCTGTGCTCAGTTAACCAAATGTGAATGTAAAGAATTGTCAGGAGAGGAACAGAGATCAAAAACCAGAGAGCAATTACCCATTATACAACTATAGGTATCGATGATGCCCCTGCATCTTGAATTCTGCGTGCGCTTCTGGTCTCCTCAAAAAAGGTAAACTGCAACTAAAAAAGATTCAGGAGCTAGATTGTTGAAGACTTTGAGAGTATGTGGGGGATGTTTTACCACATGATAACTCTATTTTTATACTCTTACATGGTCATCTGTTACTGGCTACTGTTGGAGATGGGATACCAGTCTAGTAAGTATTAGTCTGACTCAATGAGGCTGGTTTTATATTATGTTCTTGTATATTATTTGTCCTTTGTGTCTGCTGGGGAAAAAAGCCCCCAAAAGTGTACCACTTACTGCCTCAGTGATATTTGTGTCAGAAGATCATGTTGTAAAATCTGAAACTTTCAAGGGTAATTGCTAAACAACACTCAGAAGCAGCTCAAAGATGTACAGTTGAAAGCTAGTTGCAAGTCATTCCTTTTAGGACTGAAGCAGGGTGTGTGGTCCTGAGTGATACAGTTATGAAGCAGAAGTACTGAAGGATTACAGAATTATAGGTTCATTTGTTATAAAGATTCAGTACTTCAGAAGTTGCTTGAAAGATTACACTTAAAGTTTCTACAGAATTAGCATAAATTAGAGTAAGGGGCAGCTCCTAAACAGATGCTATGTGCTTAGTGTTATTTTGTGTTTGTAATGATCCATCAGTGGATTTTTCTACTTTTTGCCACAAATGTATTAGAAGATATTTATTTGGTCAGTAGGAATTTCCTAGCTTAGAACTCTGGCAATTTACTCTGTCTGTGTTATGAGACTGTGAAGTATACATTTTTACTATGTCTTTCAGTCTTCCAGGCCTGTTTCAGACACAGATGTTTGACATTAGTCTTCTAAAAGTTGGTTGTATTAGAAAAATTATATTTATAGCACATAAGTTAGTGAAAGTCTGTAATTTACTAGCAGAATTCTTCTATGGTTTTGGAAAGGGTTTCTGTAACTTCTACTTAATTTTTGAACATAATGGGAATAAAAAATTAGGTTAAACCAAGTTTATATTTTTTTAAAATAGGAATATTAAATTTGAATTCCACCTCACCCTGGAAAGAAAAAACAGATAATTGACATTGTGTTTAAATTGAAAATAATTTTTAAGAACAGTCAATTGACTTTTACATTAGGAAAGCAGTTAAACGCCAGTTGTCATCTGTATTCATCCTTCTTCATTCTCTGCAGCATGTGACACTATTAGATTCTCACTTTTACAGAATCACAGAATGGTAGGGGTTGGAAGGGACCTCTGTGGATCATCTAGTCCAACCCTCCTGCCGAAGCAGGGTCATCTAAACAGGCTGCACAGGACTGCGTCCAGGCGGGTTTTGAATATCTCCAGAGAAGGAGACTCCACAACCCCTCTGGGCAGCCTGTTCCAGTGCTTCGTCACCCTCAGAGTAAAGAAGTTCTTCCTCATGTTCAGACAGAACTTCCTGTGCTTCAGTTTGTGCCCGTTGCCCCTTGTCCTGTCGCTGGGCACCACTGGAAAGAGTCTGGCCCCATTCTGCTGACACCCACCCTTAAGATATTTATAGGCATTTATAAGATCCCCTCTCAGCCTTCTCTTCTTCAGGCTGAACAAGCCCAGCTTCCTCAGCCTTTCCTCATAGGAGAGATCCTCCAGTCACTCAATCTCCTTCATAGCCCTCCGCTGGACTCTCTCCAGTAGCTCCTCATCTTTCTTGAACTGGGGAGCCCAGAACTGGATGCAGCACTCCAGATGGGGCCTCCCTAGGGCAAAGTAGAGGGGAAGGAGAACCTCCCTTGACCTGCTGGCCACACTCCTCCTAATGCATCCCAGGATCCCATTGGCCTTCTTGGCAACCAGGGCACACTGCAGGCTCATGGCCAACTTGTCCACCAGGACATCCAGGTCTCTCTCCGCAGAGCTGCTCTGCAGCAGGTCCGCCCCAAGCCTGCACTGGTGCATGGGGTTGTTCCTCCCCAGGTGCAGCCTTCCAGTGTATCCGCCACTCCTCCCAGTTTTGTGTCATCAGCAAACTTGCTGAGGGTACACTCGGTATTTATGGAAAGTGTGTATATGTGGCGACTAGGTGAGCTTTCCGCAAACCATGGCAGAGGTGTGAGTATCATGCAGATGTTTGTAATTCTTATATAGCCTTCAGTGCACTTGCCCAAAAGATTTCCACAAAAGTGGCCTGTCTCCTAAATAAAGAGCAGCAAGCTGAAGCTGAACTTTAGCAGCAGTCACTGGTAGGTTGAGGAAGGCATATAGAAGAGCCCATAGCTGTGGAGCCGTTATGATTGAAAGTATGGGCTCATGGTGTAGATTTAGGAATACTCGCAGAAATTCTTAAGGAAGCTTGAATAACTCCGTTTGTTAATAGCCCCTTCACTGCCTAGGCAATTCCATTCATGTTTTCTTCATGTTTGCGTTTTCCTGAAGTTTTTGTAGCTTCTGGTCCCTAGGAATTGCTTGGAATATTACATGAAGCTTTTAGTGCTTGGGAACTGCAGCTCTCACAGCATATTCAGTAACGTTTTTTCAAACACATCAAACCCTGCTCTCCGTACTTTGATGGGCTTCCCATAGCACAACTCAGGTGTAGTAATTTGGTCCTTATGTTCAAGGTGCTTGATGACCTGGCCTTAGATTGCCTAGAACTAATCTAGAATTCTGCATGAAGACTTCTTACAACTTCAGTCCTCTAGTGTAACGTGGTTTTCTACAGTGAAGCTGAAGTTATCAATGTTGTGGAAAAAGTTGTTTTGCTGGCCAGCCTGAATCCTTGAAATGAGCTCTCTTTGGAACTCCCATTTTTAAGTCGATTTCTTTGACTTCACAAACTTAGTTTTCATTCTATCCATTTTTTCCTATGGAGAAAAGAAAGTAAAAACATGAGATAGATGTTACTTACAAATTTTATTGCATTACTGAAAAGATGAATGTGGTGTAACACGAAGTTCTGTCATAGGTGGGGTAGAGCCTATTCCATAAGCACCCCTCTTGATTCCTAGTTGAAAACTACTGGTGATTCTTTTAAATTTAATCCACCTTTATGTTATATAATACTTAATGACGCGTAGTCTTTAAAAATGAGTTACTGAATAGGAGCAGTCAGTGGGTAAGCAATCAATTAACTTTCTGTCCTCCTGCTATTTTTTTAATGCCTTCTCACTTTATATTCCTTCTCGTTATAGATTTGCTCTGTATCTTTTAGGACACACCTAATTCATTATGTCATACATCTAGAAATTAGTTAGCCCATTAGTCATCATACTAATCAGTGCTGACTCATTTTTTTCCCCTCCCTCGTTGCCTGTATCTGCCTGTTATCTCTGGTCATATACATATAGTTAAACTCTTTGGGAGAGAAATTAGCTTTTTGTTATATATGCATAACTAGCATAATGGTATTCTGATCCACGACTTTGGATTCTAAGTGTTATCACAGTCTGAATCTATGTATTAGATTACACAAGTGACCGACTGCCCATAGCTGTCCAAGGAAAGTAAAAGTTTCTGTGTATAGCTGCTGCTTTCACACAGCAAAGAGGACAATAGGACCATGTGAGTTAGACTCTGCAGATGATTAAAAAATCAGAGTGTTACTGTGGTGGTAGAAATTTATAAAGGAAAAATGAGTGCAAGGAAATACTTTTGATTTTCTGTGATTAAACATTAAAGGATCGTTGTTACAAACACAGATTCATTACCTTTTCCTCCAGAATTCATCATGACTGGTGTGTGTGTGTGTGTGCTAGAATTAGTGAAGTTGGTAGAGAAACCACTAAATAATCTTTGCTGCAGGAAGTGGTGGAGGTGATTCAGTAAATGGCACTTCCACATCTGAGTCAGAGCTGAACCATAGTCTCAAGCATGATGTTAGAGTGGTTCAACATGCTGCTGGGGAGCTCTATTTTGAGTGAGACATAAAGCTCAACATCCTGTTTCTTAACAGTTCTTAAAGACCCAGTGGCAATTTCTGGTCTATTAATGCTGACTTGTTGGTCATCTGTAAATTGTGGTTGTCACTTATTTCATTCTTTTTTAGTGCATCTTATTCTTCCTCTTCTCTTCCTCTCTGCTTTTACAAAAAAAGGGCTTTGACATCAGGGAAGTGGGGGAGAGAAGTGATGGTGTCTGTATATTGTTTATAAAGTTCTCCATTATGAAATACTTTTCTCAGAAGTGTAGTATCATTATCATTCTGTTGCAAAGCTGCAGAACATTCCAGGAACCCTTTAAGGTTATGACATTAACCCAGGATCATACTTCACAATTTTTCTCTGATATGTCATGATATTTATGATTAAAATAAACAGAAACTCCCAAACCAGAAACTCTTTTAAGTACTTCAGCCTTTCATATGCTGGGTGTTCACGTTAGAAATTACATTGCTGAATGTCTGTATGAAACTTTTGTGTTTTACTTCCAGCTGCTCTTTCACGTTGATACTTTTTAACATAAAGATAATAAAAAATAACATGTTTTATAGAGATAGAAGTGTAATATAAAAACTATAAAAAGAACATATTATTCGTTCTGCAGGAATATAAGTTGGCCCTGCTACAGTGCTATGGAAGATACCTCCAGCAGTTTGTTTCTGTAAACCTTGATGATATCATAAATGATGAGCATCGATTTAAATCCACCTTTTTTCCAAATGGTTTCAGAGACAAAAATGCAGCACTTACGGTAGGTTGTGGAGTTTTTTTTGTCAAAGACACTCACAGATACAAAATAAGTAGCCTATTTTATCCTCCACAAATGTGCTTCATATTAATTAAATATTAATATTAACTAATCTTTAATAGTCTGTCTATATACGCTGTGTTGAGATTTAAGTCATGTGTGATGAACATCCAGAGTTGTTGTACATTTTTAAGAGGACACAAGTGCTTAGTCTTTTGTGGCATAACTCAACCACTCTCAGTGTTAAAAAGGAAGTTTTTTCTGAATGGGTTATTCTGTAACTGTCTACACCAGTTTTTGCTCTGAGGTAATTGATGTTAAACACTGTCAGAATCAGGATCTGGGCAAAATTTGATAACTGTCTTGCAGTTGTTGTAGAAATTTCTGTACAGTGTGATCTAAGAACTGGGCAGAGTGCAAGAGAATTAAAACATTGTACTGTAATTTGTACCATAAATGTGCAGAAATACTGCATGTTAAAAAAGCTCATGACGTAGTTAAAAAGCAGCATTGCATTACTATCAATAGCTTATTTGCTTGCTATGAACAAAAGAGGCAGAATGCTGAATACTTTTGTGAGTGCTCTAAGCTTTGGAAAGCTGAGTGACCTCAAGAGTATGTGGACATTCTTTTGTGTTAATTGCTTATCGAGGTAGGGGCTTGCAACTTGCCATTTGTTATCGATGGAAGAAAGTGTTTCAGTAGGTATAATGGGAATGCTAAAAACATGTTTGATTTTACCTTGAGCAGTTCTTTGCTGAGAAGCTCCATTTTCAGTACATGGTGGATATTTCAAAATAAACTAATGCAAGTTATTGTGTGATCAAGAACAAAAAATGGAAACTGTAGGCATCTCCTGTGTATTGAGCTAATGAAATTCATATTTCTGTAGTCTGACTTAGATTGTAAATAGGTGTTTAGTGAGGAGAAAAAAAGCAGAGTGTTTGCTTAAAGGCTAGCAGGAGATGTCACGATACAAGAGATACTGTACATTATTTTTTTGTTTTTCAAACATAGTTCAGCTTCCTGGAGAGAATATGATCAAAGACTATGTTAATCCATTTTATCTTGGTTTTTAAAAAATGCTTTGTAAATAAATTTGGAGTTCCAGAGATGGTTTCTACTGTTTTCTATATGTTTGCCTAGGCCTTGAACCAAGCATAGGGCCAGTGGTTATCGCAAGTCTATGCTAAAATGCCTGTTCTATAACTTGGCCTTTAGACACTGAGATATCCCTAAATTTTCAGATATGGAAGCTGATTTGACAATGATCTCTACAACTGGAAAAGAATAATGATAATGTGTCAAATGGTTACATCTAAAGGCTTTATATGTAAATTTTTTGGCCATGTTTCTGCAGATAGCTTTTGTTTTTAATTTTACACTAAGGAAATCATAGAAATGGAGTAGTTCCAGGGTTTGAAACTTCCAGTTTCAGTGAATTAACTGCAAAAAATCACATAATTTCAAATATTGCCAGGTTAGCAGGCTTCTGAGAGGTTGGTAGGTACTGACTGGCCATGTCTCACTGAGCTCATTTTCTCACGTATTGGTTTGTTCAGTAGATTCTGTACTCCAGACAAGACGGAGACCACATTATGTTAGGTATTACAAGGAAGAAAAGGAACAATGCATCTGTAGAAGAGAAAAGTAACAGATGAGATTGAAAAATAAGTTATTTGTGATACAGATGGAGAAGTGCAGAAAAGTTTAGACTTGCCTTAATTTACAGAGGACATCTACAGAGAAGCCAAGAGTTAAAGCCAGATTCTTTGGATATCAGTCTAATGCCTCATGCATCCTTTCTCCCTGTGCCCCTTTCCGCAGCCCTAGTGCAGTAGGGGCATTTTCATCATGTGACGCAGTGGAAACTGACTCAGGCAAATGGTGCATCAACCTTAAAGCTTTAGCACTTTCTCCATAATCTAATTCTCATTTCAGTGTCACGCTGATTTTTTTCCTGGTATGCTTGATCTTTTAATACTCACCATTTGGTTGTACTTTGCTGACGTAAAACTGATATATGCATCTATTTTATCTACATATATTAACTTTACATATGTTTCTGTATGTTTTAGTTCCATGCTTTGCAAGAGAGGAATGTTTGCATTTATCAGATGGTTTGCAGTAGTGACAGAAGTCTTCAGAATGAAGAGTCCCTGCAGACTTGTTTCAATGTCTTGTCCTCCTTTCGACTGACTATGCAAGTGGCTCTGCCTCAGGAGAATTTGTGTTGGCTTATCTACAATGGTACCTCAGGCTTTCCATTTACATTGCTGAGCAAACCTGTGGAGGGAGACTATATACATATTCTTTAAGGTCAACCTAGGGGTCATGAATAAATCTCTAGTTAGTCTTCAATCACAGTAGGTTTTTTTGTAATTTTTTTTTTTTTTCTAAAGGAAGGCATTTTTAATTTGAAGTTTCTATGTACTGTGCCTTTTTCAGATGGACTGTTGTAAACGTAATAGCTTTTTCATCAGAGCTGCGGTTAGAGTGTGCTAGTAAAATAAAATCTAACAGCTTAATAAGGGTGTTTTTTGAGTGAACCCTGATTAAAAAACCCTCAAGATTTTTTTTTTTTGTCAATGTGTTAATGAGCTAGTTTGGTTGTTTTTTTTCTGAAAAGGGGATTGCAGATCTAAGAGTAGAAAATGATTGTCTGACATGACATCTTTGTATTTTTTATATGATCTCAAGGCTAGAGTGAATAATAAAGCTATTCTAAAAAAAAACATAGGACATTTAAGAATTTGAACGTCTGTATATGATTTTGGTGTGCTACATTCAAATGCTTGAATTAGGAAAAAAATTGAGGAAAAAATGGAGCTTCTGTGAACTAGATACACAGAGAATGGTGTATCAAGATTTTTATTTCAAGAACAAAACCAGTATATTTTTGCTTTGAAGGGCAATGTTATGTAATCAAAGGTCAAAACACTGTTATTAATTCGTTCTACTATGGTCAACTGTTGCAATATAAATTGAGGAGATAATGTATTTTTAATTTAATTTTGGAAAATTTACTTTCTCCAAGCTATAATTGATCAAAATTCTTATCCTTTTGTTTTTCTGGGGCTACCATTGCCCTCAGTCCCTACTTTTGAGGTGTAGTTTTTGTTTGTCTGTTTCGATGGGAGAAGAATTAAAATTAAAAAACTCACTTGCTGTTCTTCAGTCCCACTACCTGTGTGTGGGACAGGTCTTCATACCAAGCCTAGCCAATAATCTAATCTGATTAGATGTAAATGTTGAGTGATAACTCAGGTTTTTCCCAGTTCCTGAGCATTTTTCCGCAATTTCTGGCAATAGATTTTGTGCATCATTGCATATTTGACTGATAAAAAAAATCTTCCCAATGCTTGCTCATTTCTTGCTTATTGGGATAATAACACCCTTCTAGCTTTGACAGTTGATGTTGTGATGCCTCCCGCTGCCACAGGTGTCCCTTTTGGAACATTTGTACAGACAGAAGAACAGACTTTTTCCCCCCCTCAGAACTGAAATGTCTTTTATACTTCTAGGGCTGATTTTTGAAAAGCATTTTTGTGACATAGCCTAAATTAAGTAAATTTTTGACAGGATTTTATTCATAAGTCACTTCTATGCTTTTGAAAATTCTATTCACAATCAATTTTCTTCATTTCACTTATCATACTTAATATCACATAATAGTGGTGTTGTCTGCTAGGACAGTGCCATGACTGACTAAAAGAATCACATAAAGTAGTGTCTATGATGAGGGGTAATTATTTTTTAAAAAAGGCTGGCATTTGGGGATAAAAATAAGATTTTTCTCTCTATCAGTTTTTTAATAAAAATGCAATATAGTGCATTTTTAAGATTTCATTCTTTTATGTTACTACTTCATTGTGTAGGTATTTCTGAAGCTAGTATCACCCAAGAGTTTAATGGCTTCATCTTCTCTAATTTAAAAGTAGTTATAGAGAAATCACTAGTTTATTTTTCAGCCTCTGGAAATAACAACCTAGACATTAAGAAAAAGTTTCAATTGATTAGCGTAACAAGTTTCATGTAGGATTGTGGAACTTAGCTGGTTTTTACTTATTTTATTTTCTTTTTGCAGGTACTATTCATATTTACACCATATGCAGACATTTGATGATGAGAGGTCAGTCTGCTAAGGTATGGCAAAATAGAAACATTGACAAATTTATAGAAGACTGGAAAATGCATCTGTGTTTTGCATAACACTGTACCCTGACATATCTATCTCATTGTCATTGCCAATAGTAGCACTTTGTCACAGGGGAATAAAATGTCTAGATTCCAGAATGGCCAATTTCTAAGCCCTCGTGCCTTCATGACTCTGCTTCTTCCTCAGTTCCGGAATGGAGCCCAGCATAATGTCTTGCTGGGCTTTGAGATGGGACATGTTAGACTGTTTCAGAGGGCTCTAGATGCTGTTTTTGGGCAACTGTAGCAAATGCCAAGAACTGGTCTTTTGTTTCGTAAAATGTGGACATGTGCTGACACCTCGTGGCTAGGTTTATAGTTGCAAATACTTGGTAAAAATGAGCTGGCCTTTCCCTCCTGTACTTTTTAACAGAATGTAATTTTTGTTTGTATTAGCTTTACTTTTTTCTCCTAAAACTTGAACAGAGTCTGGCTCAGCCTAGATCCAGTATATTTTCTTCTCTGTCCTTTATGTTACTCTTTATTTGAACAGGAAAGATTTTTTTCTCTTTGAACGTCTTTTAGTGAAATCAGAAGTGATCTAGCAACCTCCTTGAACATATTCAGGCTTTTACTATACAGGAAACAGAGGAACTGATCGTGGGCATTTCAGATTCTTTTCATTCAGACGAAAAGAAAATGTGTATATTGACTTAATTTAGGACTAAAGTTGTGCATATTTTATGTACCTCAGGGAACAGCTGACCTGAAGAAAATGCAAGGGGAAGATATTGTTCAATCAATTTAGCAAGACTCACTGTTAAAATGAGACTGTTGCAATGACTATGTTGGCCCTAAAGTTAAGAGCCGATAATGTACTTCCATGGCTGTAAATGAATCTAAGTGCAGGCTGTCACCAAGGAAGTCAGACTCTGTTGCATCCCAAATAAACTTGCTGATCTAGTTGAAAATTAACTTAATAAAAAATGATCACTAGAGCTGGCGCAAAGGAAAGGGAGAACTCTCAAGATAAGGATAGATGAGAGAGAAGGGCAGGACCTCTGTCTGGTGGCAAGGCTAGAGTGAACTGAAGTGGTTAAAATAGTTTGGGGACTAAAATATCATGCTTGACCACAGTTTCAGGTGGTAAAAAAATAAGATGCAGGAGGAATGCTTTGTAGTCAATAAACCATGTTAAAAATTAATACAATTTCTGTGTGGTTTTTTTCCCTCTTTTAATTTGTCCTACCAGGTGACGATAAATCTTTGTATGCATTCTTCAATATATTTATATATTTTAAAATGCAGTCAGTTTACAGCTGGATTTCTTTAATATAGGTCCTGGAATACTTACTGTGGGCCAGTATATGTATGGAATCATCCATTCCGCTCTTATCTGTACATTATCTGACGTGGAGAGCCACCCTATATACTGCAGTTTCTCAGTGTTATTTTGATTGTCAAGCCAGCATTCATGGAGAGGTATCCTGATTTACCATATGTAGCATTTCAGATACTATCAAATGAGAAATAAATATTTATTTAAATATTTCTGCTTATTATCAGATCATATGTATTTAGAGTTCTGCCTATATTCCAAAATTTAACTGCAAAGTGGAGGTGTGTTGCCACATGTAAATGAGTAATCAGTTCAAAGTTCAATGCAATAGTACTTTACAATATAACCAGAGTCATAGACTGCTAGCATTAAGTAGTAGCCAGCCCTCATGCATATATACAAAAGGTATTTTGCAAAAGTTTTCTTTTCCTTTTCAGTTGTTATTCAGGAACTGGCTTTCATTGCAGCTCTTTGCTGTTGTCTGAATTCAAGAATGATACGATTCTAAAATTGAATACCAACATACAAAATATGTAAACAGATTATACTTTTTTTTTAATACTTTGGACAGATATTTGCTCGCCGTGGTCTGATCAAAATTGATGAACTGAAGCAATTAGAAAATATCAGTTCGCTGGAAGATTCAGAGACAAAAAAGATTTTTAGAGAGGCTACTCTAAAGGTATCATTCTGCAATTCATTATAAACAGATAGAGTAGTTACAATCTCTATGAACAGAACACGCAACACAATTTTTACTTACTTTTTTCCTTGTGTCAGATGTCAGTAATGATTTTCAAGAGAGCAGTATATGAATCCAGAAGAAAGCCGAAAAGCTACTTTCGACCTAAGTTAAGAGCTGGCTTGAAAGAAGCACGAAATGTAAGTCACATTTTGTGTAATCCTTCTCTTTGTTTATGATTTGCATTTGGTGAATATGTGATATAATTCTGCTTAATACACATGGTGCTACTCACAAAGAGAAAGTTTTACTCTTTCGTTTTCATAGTTAACATAATTTATTATTAAAACTCAGAACAAACTTGAAAGGAGGGAAGATGTAGTAACTGCTACTTTAGAAAATACTGATTTTTCTAACTTTTTTTTTTCCTTAGCAATTGTGTTAACAGTAACAATAAGAGAAATCTTGTTCAAACTCATACCAAGTCTACAGGAGTCCTGAGTTTGCCCTGCTGTGTTAAATTATTGTGACGATAAAGGGGTACTTTGAAAAAAAGCTACTGTGTTTTAAAATTTTTTTGTAATTGTACATTGGAGAACTTCCTTAAGTCTTGAGAGGTTGTTTTTGAAGGCCACTTACTCTTCTGCAAGACATCATGATTTAAAGAAAGACATGCAGGATACAAAGCAGACTTTTAAGGAAGTAATGAATTTCCTCAAATATCAGTTTTTCTGTGTGTTCTTCACAGCCAGGGTTAGAAATGAGTGATCCATTGGCATAAGAATTATAAGTAATCAAAGAAAATCCTTTTTTGTGTGCGTGCATGTCCCTTTTTTGGTCAGCATGCAGACTTTAATGTATCAAACTTCAGTAGTTAAGTTTATCTTTATGCCATTATGCTATTTTGTGGGTTCGTAATGCATCTTACTTGGATTGTATCATCCGTTTTTCGACATAGGTTGATAGGTCTTTTGAATTCAATACCTTTCTTAGATGCAGGACTGCACAGATCGAATAGAAAGTTTGATTTCACTGTGCCAAAGAGGATACTTCTATCTGAGTGGTTATTCCCTTTGTGATGGACAGATTGTTGTTCTGCTTTCCTACTGTTAGAAATTGTGATTTAAATAGATTTAATTCCTGCAGTATTCCATAGGAAGCTGGCAGAGAGGAGTGACTGAAAGTGCTAATCAGCAAGCTCCCAAAACCGTACTCTCTTACTGAATAGTATTGCCTGCTCATTGGGATGCTTTGCAACCATGTAAGCAAAAGATTATGATCTCTTTTCACTGTGACACCCTCTTGTGATAAAAAACATTATTCTGTGGAGTGTTGTTAGCCGATGGTGATGTAAATATAGGTAGTTTGGTTTTATGAAGTAAATTATTTTCTTTTGCATATACTGCATTATGAAGAATTACCATTATTGTAGTATCATAGGAGTGAACATGTTGGTTGCGTGGGACTTCTGGAAGTCATTTAGTTCAGCCCCTGACTTGAAGCATGACTTTTACCAATGGTAGATCAAATCAGCTGTGGCTTTGTCTTCAAAACCGTCAATGAAGGATATTCCCTGGTCAGTTTAGGTAACCTCTTCCAGTACTCCATAACGCTCCTAATTAACGTACTTTTCCTAATGTCCAGTCTGCAAATCATCCCTTATGCTTTCACAATCATCTGAATGGAAGTCATCTAGTCCAGTCCCCCAAAGCTGACTGTGGTCATTAGTCCTTGTTATACTATCTTTTTCTACTCAGAAGAGTTTGGCTTCTTTACTTTTATGAGTCTTCTTCAAGTAGTTGTGGGGAGCTATTAGGTCACTCATTAGCCTCCTCTGACAGACTAAGGCTTCCTTAGCCTATTCTTTTACATTTTATGCCCCTAATCATCTTGGTAGACCTCCATAGGATGCTGTCCTGCTTCTTAGCATCCTGCTTACGCAAAGGAGACCAAAAGTGGACATAGTACTCTAGGTGGAGCCTCATGAGTTCCAAGTAAGGGAAGAAAATAACCTCTCAATGTGCTGTATGCTTCTACTAGTGTAACCCAGTCTGCAGTTTGCCTTCTTTGTGACAAGAGGACACTGCTGGCTCAAGTTTAACAACCAGGTCTTTTTTGGTGGTGCTGCTACTCCAGAAGGTGATTTCCAGTCTGTACAGATGCATTCCTCCCCAGATACAGAGCTTGGCACTTCTCCCAGTAGAACTGCTTCCTCAAGTTTCTTGAGGTCTCCTTGGACTGAAATTCCATCATCCTTTAATTCTCATGATGTAGATAGAGATCCATTACATAAGTACCTCATAATACAAGGGCAAAATTGAGGAATCTCTTTGCATTTTTTTGAAGACAAAAGGAAAGAGATACTACAAAGTGATAACTTATTTGCCACAGTTCATCTGATGCTAGAACAGATTCAAACATTCAGAGCTGAACAAAGAGGTTAAATCTAAATTTTTTTGTTCATAATTATCTCATTTGTTCATAAAATACTTTGGGATAAGCTACACATAAAAACATGTAATGCACTAGGTACAGTAGAAGCTGAATAATTTGAAATAATGGTGATGTATTTTCTGTCTTAATTGTTTAATATTGATATAATAGTTATTTAATTATTTCTTTGTCATTAGTCTATATTATGTTGGATTTTTAAAGATTTGATGTATTAAAAAGACTTATCAGAAGCAACTGAGATTGCTCATTTGAGCTGCTTATGGTTAATAGTAAAATTATAATGAAGTTATACTAATATGTTACAGATGTGATCTGATTGTACTGAATGCTTCTGTTACATAAGTTATTCATCAAAGATTTTTAAAAGATAATCTGATACTTCAGTTTCAAATCATTGACTTGAATCGTAATTAATATTAAACAGCTGTGTGGACAGCACAATAGATCTGTTCCAAACCTCACTTACTGAAAATTTCCCATTATCCAAGATCGAGCCCACAACCTCGACATGTTCAAGTATGTGTGGTTTGCACATATAAAGGTATTGGTCAACTTTCTCAAGATCAGTTGATTCTGGAAGACTTACGTACTTCTGAGTGATGGTCATCTAAAAGTCTTGCAGAACAATTGGGCTATTATGAACTCAGCATGCTTTCAAATAAGGGTGTTTGCTTGTTGGGCACCCATCATGATACTAGGAACATATGTCTGTCACATAGCGGGAATCTTATCTATCTGATCTCCAGAAGCTTGAAAAATCTGTCATAATTTATTTTGTTCTGCAGTGTCTGACTTTCTGACAAAACTGAATGCCTGAAGTTAACAACAAATTGTTAGAAATTACACTGTTCATAACTTCCCCACCAAAAGTGTTCATAACTCCCCCACCAAAAGTCTTTTACTTCTGTGCTATGCAGTTTTCACTACCTTATTTAAGAAGGAGTGCTTTCTAAACATGACAAGACAATGCTTATGCAAAAATTTTAGTAGTAAATTACATGTCCATTTTGCTCTGCACTTTAACAAATGTATTTAAACAAAACCTGCAATTTGTGCTTAGCCTGTCCTGGAATATATGTGATATATGTTGCTTTCTGCTTGCATAGATCTGATTCCTAGACTGGGCTCGTAAAAACAAATCTGCAGTGTGGGGAAAAAGATATATTGAATACAGTGACACAAAGTATAAAAAAAAAAATCTATAGTTTGCTTTGAAATTTTTTTAGTCTGTGAATCTCATTATGATTTATTTTAAAAATGTTGAAAATCTGTTTTGGAGTTATTTTGCTAGGAGAATGTGCATCAAAGAATCAAAGAATGGTTGAGGTTGGAACTGGCCTTTGGAGGTCATCTGGTCCAACCCCACTGCTCAAGCAGGGTCGCATAGAGCTGGTTGCCCAGGAACATGTCCAGTCGGCTTTTGAGTATCTCCAAGAACGGAGACTCCACAACCTCGCTGGGCAACCTGTGCCAGTGTTTGGTCACCCTCAAAGTGATAAAATGTTTCCTGATGTTTAGAAGCAACCTCCTGTGTTTCAGTTGTGCCCCATTGCCTCTGGTCCTGTCTCTGTCTTCTTTGCACCCTACCTTCAGGTATTTATATGCCTTGGTGAGATCCCTGCTGACCTTTATTTTCTCCAGGCTAAACAGTCTCAGCTCTCACAACCTTTCCTCTTAGAGGTGCTCCAGTTCCTTAAACATCTTCCAGGGCCCTTCATTGGACTTTCTCCAGTATATCCATGTCTCTCACCAGGGAGCCCAGAACTGGACACAATACTCCAGGTGTGGCCTCACCAGCAGAGGGGAAGGATCCCCTCCTTTGACCTGCTGATGATACTTTGCCTAATGCAGCCCAGGGTACTGTCAGACTGCTTTGCTGCAAGGGCACATTGCTGGATCGTGTTCAACCTGGTGTCCACCAGGACCCCCAAGACCTTTTCTGTCAAGCTGCTTTGCAGGTGGGTGGCCCCCCACCACGTGCTGGTGCATGGTTTTGTTCCTTCCAGGTGCAGGACTTTGCACTTCTTGTTGAATGTCATGAAGTTCATATCAACCTGTCGAGGTCCCTCTGGATGGCAGCATGACCCTCTGGCATATCAGCCACTCTTCCCAGTTTTGTGTCATCTGCAAACTTGCTGAGGGTTATGGGAGACAACGTGACAGGCCTTACTGAAGTTTAGGTTAGACAATATCTACTGCTCTCCCCTTATCTATGAGGCAAGTAATTTCAACATAGAAGGTTATCAAGTTGGTTAAGCAAGTCTTCTCCTACGTGAATCCATGCTGGTTTTGTTGTCCTTCAAGTGCCTGGAAATGGCTTCCAGGATTCACTGCTCCATCAGTATCCAATATGAATTGTCTATTGTTTTTACTTCTACTATGTTCTCAGCAGAAATAGTTCCTCTTTGCAAAAGACAGATAGTTACAGTATTGATGAAGATCACTCATTATGCAAGTTATCTGAAAACAAAAATAGCCTGTTAGATTTAATACTCTAAATGCTGTCACATATTGAACAGATTAGGTTTTTTTTTCATCGTGTACACATTTGAGCTTGCTGTAAGTATTAATTCAGAAGCTAAAATAAAGGATGTGGATCCAGCAAAGAGAGAAGGAAATTCCCAAATTTTTGTCTAATAAATGTGCCTGGAAACCATCCCAAAGTGCTTTTATTTGCGAAAATGCCAAATAAATAGAACTGAAATGTTGACGGATTATGGGCAACATTTTAAAGTACTGTATCCCTGATTTACTTTATGTCTGGTAGTGGTTTGGTAACCATGTAAACAGAACATTGAAAAAATATTTAAAAATATTTTCCTATATAGATCTCTGATTTCTTAGCTGTCAATAGTGCAAATACATTTTTGTGTGTTTTGCCTTGTATTTTTATGTTACGCTGTTTGAAATGTGTGAAAGAGAGAATATAATAGTGTTTTGCTTTCACTGCAGTGCTAAACATCCTAATCTTTCTCTGATTTTCTGCAAACTGCATAGAACTTAGCTCCTTATTGTTATGTCTGTGTCATTATAAGGAGAGATCTGGGTGGCTTTAAACGACATGGCCTTAATACTCTCACTCATAATTTCTATTGTGTTGTTTTCTGAGTAAAACACCATGTAACAGTGTGTGTGGTTGCTGTAAATTATGGCATTTCTTAAGTATTGTACCCACTTAGCATGAGGCTTTGCTATGCCTTTGAAGCATGAAATTTGTAACTCCAATATATTTTACAGTATATTATTTTGTTTTAAACATGTACTTACTTTCTGATGGAGTACTGTTTTGAAAGAAATCTTGCTTTATTGTAACTTGCTTTAGATATTACATGGCTTACGTTACATTTTCTTACTTAGTTGCCATGGCCTCGCACTACTACCGAACGGCTGCTGACAGAAATGTTTGATGGCGCTGCAGCTCAATTCCTTGCCATCCTGGAAGCTCTGTCTGATAGTAGCAGGCATGTGTTGCGCCCTGCTCCGCCTGTTCCTGATGAAATTGAAATTCATGATGTCATTTCAGAGCTTTTTTTTGCGGGCCTGGAAATCCTCTCAGGTAACAACATAAAGAAGCAGAAGGAGTGTTGTTGAGGAGCCCAGACCTCCATTTTATTAGTTTTTTTTTTCTCTGCTATTTCATTTATAACAATAGTACCTGTAAAGCAGGGGATCAGTCTTATCTTCATAAAATTTAAGATAAAAATCTGGGCCAATCTCTGTTGTCTGTTTTATCAGTAAAAATCCACAGTCATCTACACATACCTTTTCTCAATAGGGTGGAGTTCCCTTTCTTCACAGCAGCCCGTATGATGCTGTGCCTTGCATTTGTGGCTACAACAGTGTTTGCTGATAGCACACCAATGTTTTGGCTGTTACTGAGCAGTGCTTGCGCAGCATCAAGGCTGTCTCTCCAACCTTTCTCCCTGCAAAGGCCAGTAGGTTGGGCAAGGGCTTGGGAGAGGACATAGCTGGGACAGCTGACCTGAACTTGCCGAACAGCCATTCCATACCATATGACATCATGCTCTGCGATAAAACCTGAGGCTGAGGGAGAGGATTGGTGCACATGAGTGGTTATGGTGTTTGTCTTCCCAAGCAACTGCTATGCATCCTGAGGCCCTGCTTTCCGGGAAGTGGCTGGATATCTGCCCATCTATGGGAAATAGTGAATAAATTCCTTTTTTTGCTTTGCATATACAGCTTTGGCTTTTCTTGTTAAAGTGTCTTTATCACAGCCCATGAGCTTTTCCATTTTATTTTATCCCCCTGCCCAGTGGAGGAGGGAAAGTGAGAGAGCAGCTGGGTGGGGGTCTGGAAGCCAGGCAAGGTCAACATACCATAGTGTTTCATTTATCTTTTAAAAAAAAAAACACTCAAGTTAGATTTAAAACTTCAGAAAATTTTTTAAATCTGGACTTGGTGATTCCATCCTAACCTTTTTTGCTGGGGTCTGGACTGAACATAGCCATAGTTATAGAGATATTTAGTGAATAAAAGGATCTATAGAGACTAAATACACTTCAGAATTGTATTTGCTTGATATGATTACTGGCTAATTGGAATATAACAAGTCAAATACAGTACAAACTAATTTAACAAATTGTCTGTATTAAAGGTGGAGTGAGCAGTACTGGTACTGAAGGAAGTCATTGCACCGATCATTTTGGTATAATTAATGCATCATCAACCCTTTTGCAGCTGATACTAACAGGTAAACTAACTTGGAATTTTCAAAGGATTCTGTACCCAGTGATGCAAATGCTTGGTAAGCAGAATTAATTTTCACGTTAGTAGCAGTTCTGTGCATAAAGGGACTGCAAAATGCTGTCCTCTTCACGTGAGATATGCTTTTTTATACATATGATGTTAAGGCATTCAAAAGGGGTTATGTACAGATGTCATGACAAATTTTGTAACACGAGTATTAATTAAATAGTGTATGGTAATATATGGACGTTGTAATCACATGTTGTAATCAGCATAGTGCTTCATCTAGATATGTTAATGCCCGTAAACAATCATTCAGAGGCCAAATTCTGCAATGATGTCCTGGTATGTTCTTACGGAAGACAAGTGGGATGCAGTAGCAGAAGGACTGTCGTAAGCTCCTTGAGATTCTTGGACCAATCATTGTGCTGCTTTGGAAAATAACAGCTGTCTATTACTGAGTTAATATTGCTAGCATCTTCTAGCGGAGTGACCACGTGGCCGAGTGATATGTCAATGACTGTGGCATATTCTTAGGACTGCAGGACACTGCTGAATGTGATAGCTAAGACGCTTAGAGTTCCAAGGACCAGGAAATCCTTTTTCTGCTTTACTGTGGTTTGGATAAACTTGAAGAGTGAGAAAATAGACTCCCTACATGCACAGGCACATTTTCTGATACAGTAATGAGAAATACTCATCTATTTTGCAAGAAATTGTTCATGTATTTACGCATTTTTTTTTACGAAATTTCTGGGAAGAAGGTTCGTTATGGGATGGTACCCAGATTTAAGCTCTTTCTGCAACAGAAAAGGCTAGGTCCTTGATATCGTCTACACAGGTATGTTAATATCAATAGTAGTACAGCTTCTTAGAATGTAACAGGACATTGCAGATACATCATTAAAGTAGTATATAAACATAGATATTACAACAGAATAATAAAGCTATTGAATCTTTTAAAGCTATTAAAAATCCCTCAAGATTATGGTATTCAAAAACACATGGAGTTCTATCTTTGTATTTATCAATACCCAAACTATTGCTTAAATTAAACTTCTGAATATATATGTAAACCTGATAAAATATTTTTGTCATCACTGCAGGAGAAAAGGGGGTATCTGGAGATGCTGCTGTGAAATTTATAAAATTAGCTTTCAACTATGAAGAGTGGGACGTGTTTGATTCTGCTATCGAATTAGTTGTTAATTTTCTTCAGGTAATCCAGATGCTATTTAGACATTCTTTATGTAGTCTTTTCCTATGAGGGTAAGGAAGAGTATTCAAAATACATATTTTAAAGACAAGTTTCTGTTGGTCGTTTCTGTCAATTAGGCTCAAGATGATCCAACATGGAAGAAAGCTGAAATGGAACTCAAACTTCTTACACTAATGCAACCTTTACTATTTCCAAGAAAATTTAAACATGGTTTTTCTATTAGTGAAAATAATACCAAAGAAGTTAGGATGTCTGATGGTTCTGAAAAGAAGCAAACATTCAGAAGTGAGTGTTACTTAGTTATAGCTGTGTTTGCATTTCAAATATTTTTGCAGCAAGACTTTTTTTTTATTATTTAGAAACTATTTAATGTGGTGCATGCAGTATTCTATGACAAAAACTAGCATCTGAGAAATTGCAGCCTACTGAATTTTGTCGTTTTCATTTGCTGAAACATGACTTTATACCATCTCCACTGAGTGTGAAGTAGCATATATGTTTAACATACATCGTGTTATATGCAAAGATGTAAAATTAATGGATGTTTTCAGGCAGGTTTGCAAGAAAAAAGTGAAAAAGCCGTGTTTGACTTTCTTTTTTGTCCTTATACTCCATTTATATAAAATTTCTTGGCATCGAAGCAATACAAACTTTTTAAAGCAGCTGTAATTTAACTGTATAACATTACAAAACCTGCAAATATCTTGCAAACTTTCAATTTCAAAAAATAGCAATGCTCACTTTTCACAGGAAGTGAATAAACTTGGGAATATCTGTCCCCTTTGTATTCACCATTTCTTAGAGTATGTTATCTGCTGCATAAATTGGTAAGCCAATTCACTCAGATGTTTTCAAACGTAGGTTTGTAACTAGAAATAACATCTTGCCTTATCTTTTCTTGCTTTTCTATAAACATTGAATGTAGAGGGTTCCTTAAAGCACGGAGAGCCTTCTCATGATCTTATGGTTTTGGCAACAACAGTGTTTTCCTGTGTTTCCACATCTAAGCAGGTATAATAAAATTAAATTAATTTCTTCTGAATGAATTGCATAATTTGTAATGAATGCATATAGTTTAAGACTAAAGGCATCAATTGTATAATTAGCAAACTACAAAAATGAAATAGCAAAAATAAAAAATATACCCACAGGATGTGATCAATTTGTGATTTTAAGAAGTAATATTTGTTTCATGTTTTTTTAAACGTTATTGGTTCTGTGTACTCAGGCTACTTTAAAAATGTTTAAAAGGTATTAAATCCACTTGGAATGTCACAGAACTAATTGCATGTTTCAACTAATCAAGCAGAGATCAAATTTCTGATATTAGATTTAGGTGGGCAAATGTGCTCATCTGTAGAAAATACTTCTGCAATATTTATTGCAATGGGAGCAGTGACCCTAAGGAATGATAATGCCTTTGTAGCAGCGGTATGCCTGCAATTCAAGGTAAATTCACACTGCAAATAAACACGCAAGCAGCAGCAACAACAAAACCAAAGAGAGTGGGCCTTTTTGTGCTGAAATCTGTACTACAGAATAATCCCATTATATATATGATGGTTTATTCCCAGAGTAACCACTTTTAGCTTACTTACTCAAACTGAGATTTCCCGTAATGTGCTACTGTGGGGGAAAAAAATTACAGCACAATGTCACCACTAGCATTTACACTAAAATAGTTTGTGATCCAAAAGACTAATGAAACATTTTCCTTAGAAACAATATGTTCTGCTAACACGGCGTATGTCTTAACTGCAAAATTAATTTTAGATACAATTTGAGTATAAGAGAGGCAGACACATTTTTTAGCTTTAATGTAATATTTTTAGTCAAAATATCCTGCCTGAGTGGTAGTTATACCTTTAGATAGCATGACTTGTCATTTTTTTACATGACCACTATTATGGAGGCAGGTTACCTGGATTTAAACTCTTGTGGTTCTTATACAGTTTCCCACAAATCTCCTTGGTACCTCATCTGTCCGGGGAAGAAAGACAAATTCTCCTCTGATCAATAGTGAATTCGTTGATGGTGGAGTTACATGACATAGCTTAGCCAATCTAAGAGCTTGCTGCCACCAAACGAGTGGCAAAATGCATCTTGATTTACTTCTTGTTCAGTCTTTTTCTCCCCTCACTTCTCAATATCAATATCCCTGAAATCTTATGCACATACACATTCCATAGTGTGGATGAAGTAGGCTTGAGTTTCATTGCACCTGAGATACTAGTCAAACTCTGGTATAAATGGCAATAAAGATGCGTACCTATCCCTAATCATTGTTCAGAATGTGTTTAACAGTGTAAATAGACTCTATTGCCTTTTAAAATGTGTTAATTAGGAGGCTAACTGATTAGAGATTTGAATTTATTAATTACTCTTCATAAAATGCGGATGTGTTTTAACATTTCTTTCAGTTGTTAGATATTCATCTCCAACCTTTTTTCTAGTTGTTTAACTTGTTCTTCACTGCTCCTTCATCTGAGATGCACCAACAATCTGTGGAAGTACTCTGTCACTGCAAAATGAAACCTACTAATTTAGATCTTATGTAAATATTTAAATATTGTAACAAAAAAAAAATCCCAAGGTTAATATAACTGTTAAATTACATTACTTTGTTTCCCCAGAATGCACTGACTATTATAACATTTCATAGATAGTTAATTTGCTTGTATCGTCCATGTAATTTTCATCTCACTTCTTTCCTTGTCTATGTGACTTTTAAGAGCTTGACAATAAAAAAAGAAATACAAAAACCCCAAACTCTAAAACCACTTGTATTGTTTGGAGAAGAAAAGCTTGGGTGGTCTACTAGAAATTACTTTAAAAAAAATATTTCTTAAGCTTTCAAAATGTCATCCTGTATAAGAAAGTTAAATATGATGATTTATTTACTTTGAAAAAATTTGAGAGTTCTTATATACTGTATATACATACTTGTTTCTAAAATTATGTTGTTTTTTTCTTTCCAGAATATCCAACCTGATAAAGAAATACTTGTTGATGTGATAATGTTTTTGTGGCAGAAGTGTAAAACAGGACTTCAGCGAATCCAAATGAGTGGAAGTGACTACTTAAAATATATCCACAAATACAAAGCTTATCAAGTACTCCTTATTATAATGTATTTCTCTTAATATGAGTCCAGTCTGTTATAGTAAAGTCAAGATAAAATACTGATCTCCAGTTTAAGTACATTTTCTTATGGTAAAATGCAGATAAATCTTCTTCAATGAAAATGTCAATTGTATATACACTTTGAACAGATTGTACTCCCATATGCCAGTATCAAAATACTTCTTAGCCTTTTCCCAGTAAAGTAACCCATTCTCTGCCAGTGGGCCATGATAGAAGCTAAAATAGTAAAACATTTGGTGTGTTGTGGCCAAAAATATCAATATAGTTCAAGAAAGTTCCCTAGATCAATTGAAGAAAGAGGGTAAAACTTGCAGCTTAAGAGAAGGGACATTAAGGTCAACAGGATTTGGCCCACTGGACAGAGCCACAGCCTTACTTTGAACTTTTCCTGAGACTGAGGGGCTCTTGGGGAAATGCAGTCCTGTGAAGTATAATTTACACTAGTTTCTCTGGGCTGCCAGTTGATGCTGACCAAATAGTTGCTGGAGGAGTTCATTCTGTGGCCCTGATCCCCATAACAAAATTGTTGAGAGATTTAGCAGAAGGTAATGTGCAGTTACTTTCCTCTGTGTGTACAACAGGTGCATTCGGGTCTCTTTTATACTGTTTGAGTGGGAAGATATGGGGATAAATGAGAGGCAAATGATCAAATCTGCTGTAAGTCTTACCACACTATGACAAGATATGAAAGTTCTACCCATAGAGCACTCATAAACCTTTCTAAAACAATAAAAAATAGTAATATTCTAAAATAAAAAGTCTGCTGTATGAAGAAATAGGGGCTTAGGAGCAGCACAAATTCAGCATCTTAGGCCAGTGGCATTCTAAAAAAGAAGTCAAATCCAAGAAAGGAGTTGTGTCCAGGTTTATGAATCTTTTTAAACAATTTTGAGTGCAAAACCCTATCTGCCGCTGTAATACATAAATTTTTTCCTAAAATTTATTTTAACTCTGCCCTGATTCTTTTTCTTTCCCCTTCCCCCATTTTTAGTGGGTTCATGTACTCTGGATAATAAATGAAGTAATTCAGAAGAGCAGCGTAGAAGACATTAATGTTGTAATGCTTGCAGAGATAACCTTACATCTAACTGCGCTCTTGGAAAACGTAGCTGATTCTACAAGTAAATCTAAGAAAAAAGCAGGTAAAGCTTTCAACAAAAATGTGGCTGTCTTTCAAGAATGACTTCAAAGATTGGCAGTTTTCTGAGTTGAAAACTTTTGCAACTATGCATATTCAAAAATTGTTGTAAAGAGATTGTTGAGAGTAGAATAATAATTTTTTGTACATACAAATTCATCCATAATCAAAGCTAACGAAACCTGGTTTTCAAAGGATTTATGCGTCATTTCCTTGCATTTCCAATTCTGCTGAAGTATACATTTTGAATTACATCTCTTATGGTTCACCCTTCCCACAAGTCTTCTACATGTCTCAGCCCCTTCAGAGTAGCCTCAGATCACTCATATGTTCTCTGAATATTGGCTAGGCAGAAGGCAGCGTGTGCTGCGGCTCATTTGGAGTGTTCAAGTGCTGGCTGACTAGTGGCAGGCCAAACAGAAGAGGAAAATATTGAGGTCATACTGAAGCTTTTGCTTTTATTGGGCCATTAATTTAGATCTCTTGTCTACACAAGTCTTGATTTTTGAATAGGAATTCAATTGTCTTTTGAAATTGAAAAATTGAACTTAACTTGGCTGACATTAGTGGGATATAGTCCAATCACATTAAACAAATTGCCTTACAAAACCTGACTGACGTAAAATATGAACATTTAGACAATCTTTTAGAAGTTCTCTGTCGTTGTGGATGTAGGACCTTGGAATATGAATCGTATTTCTCATAACTATTTTGCAGTAACTAAAGAGTAGATTTTAAGTATCCTTTTAAAGCATATCCAGGAACAGAAGAGGATGACAATACCTTTTGCTTTTTTTGAAAGTAAGGAAATCTTGGAACAGTACTATTCTAACGTAGAGTAGGTATTTTTTTCTGTGAATGTTATGAGTATCAGACCTTTCTGATGGAGACTGGATGAATCCTCATTGTAGCATCACTGCTATTATTTTTCATTCAGTTTAAATATGTCTATTTGGAGACAAAAAACCTGAATAAATAGGAGCCATTGCTCAAAATGAGCTGATAAATAGCCAGTCCAGTGCATGTTTATGCTGAGAAGAGTCTTTTTAGTGAATGAATGCTGAGTGAATACAGATTTTCTTATTTATGAGAAAGAGACAGTGAACAGGCAAAAGTGGCACAAGAAGTACAGGAGTGACTAGAAAGTTGTCCCTGTGAAAGGGCAAAAATGAATTTATTTTGGCAAAGAAATAAATTTTTGACAGGCTAGAAGGCTGTAAATAAGAAAAAAGAAAATGCTTCCTTTTGTTCTGGCTGCTTCCTCTTGTTTTAGAAAGAAAAACACAGTTCTAGGTGCATTCTGTATAAATGAAAATGATTTAAACAATCCAAATGAACATTATAAGGGTGATAATATGCTCCAAAGAATATTAAATTGAAATAGCATATATCATAAAAATATGACCTCACCTATTGAAATAGTATATATCATAAAAATATGACCTCATGTATTTAAAAATCCTCCTATAAGCTAAATTAGCATTAAACCCACTGCAAATTGGATAACAATAGACTTGAATTGACTTAAAAATAGAAAACTGGTGTGAATGCTACAATAATGTCAGCAGCTGCAAAACAAGTCGAAGTTTCATTGGCTTAGATATAATGTTTCTATGAAATATAGTGTACTTTTAAAAACACTCATTTACTGGATAATTGTATCCTGAACTAGTATAATTGAATATATGTAGCTGTTGTGTTTAAACCCCGAAAAGCTTTTCAAGAAACAATATGATTACCTCTCATTGTCAACTACTGAAGAACTGAATTATTGCTAGAGTCTTGTTAGTAGTAGATCTAATCAAATGGTACTAAACATTCTGAATATATTTCGTTTTCACTTTCTGATTTTCTTTCTATAAAAAAGGAAGAAGTGCCCCTCTCTCGCAAGATGAAACCTACGATATTCCTGAAATACTGATGGTAATGTCTAATTCATTTAATTAAATACAGCATTTTTGAATAGCATAAGAACACTTATTTCTGCTTGAAACTTCTGATACAGTTTTGTATTTAGTTTTATAAAGTTGTAATGTTTCACACAATCATGCTAGTGCAGAGGAAAAAAGCAAAGGTATTTTCATGTCTTTTATAGTAATTGTGATATGGAAGAAGTTTTAGTTAAAAATTTTTTTACAGTGTGATCATAGTGATTTCCACTGTACACTCTTTTTTATGCCAATGTACAGTACCAGCTTTAAATGGTTTAACAGTGCAATTTTTAAAGATACAAAGATACAAACTTTAGTCCTAGCTTCATTTAGGGAAATATTTTGGGTTGTGCTTTTGTTTGGTTTTGTAAGGATGATGTGGAATAGATGAAACATCCTGAGTGTCCTTGTTTTGTTCAGTGTTTTCAGTGCTCAGCTCTTTGCAGAGGTGTCCAATTAAACAGTTCAAAATTACTTACTGAAACCCATCAAGGAGAAAAGACATACGTTAGTCTGAGGATTCAGGAATTTTGTTGATGATATGTCTTAAAGCTTACACATATGGAGAAGCTTTAATTCAGCTATAGTTAACAGCATCTCATAGAATATTGAAAAACTGCTTGTGAAAAATACTGTGTTTGTCAACTTAATTCTCCAAGTTCAGTTTCATTCTGCTATAATCTGACTCTGAGTAAAAAAACTGGTTTTTGAAAGCTGAAGGAAAATCAGTCCTAGATTAATTAAAGTGACTTGAAATTTAAAATATTGATATTAGTATATGAAAGCATGGGGAGCAGTGCCTATGCACAGATTATTTGACAGAGTTTAAACTGCAACAGCTAAAAACAATAGCACTTTTGGTATTCCATATTAGAGCTTTTAATGCTGTTGTGTAATAATAGGTGTTTCTATATGTTTCTGTTTCAGAGAAGTCCAACAGAACAATTACAAGTTGCTTATGAAAGTCTTGAAAAAGCAATTAATGGAATGAACACATCTCGCTCAATGACCCTTGTACCAGATGGAAAGTCGATATTTGACAACTGCTGTTCAAAGGTAAAGTCTACTAAAAGCTACTCTGCAGCAAAATCTATAAATAGTATATTGGATTTTGATGATACAAAGCTCATACTTTCTTAATACTTAGAAGTCTTAGCATTATCAAATGTACCTGATATTCCTGCTTCATGTGAGGAGAGACGAGAAGAAAAAAAATCTCTGTGTAGTAGAAATAGCATTTTTCTCTTTCAGTAATATACTATAAAGTCTTTTAGGTTTTCTTTGCCATTTTCTTTTGGAAGTAATTATAATTTGTAGCTTTCTCCTATAAAATAGAAGCAGAAATACTTTTCAGATTTATTGCTTGCAACTGTTTATTATTAAAATTAATTTTTGCTGTAGATGAGAGTTCAGATTTGCTAGATATTATCCTACACTAATATGGTCTTTGTGGACTAGTAACACATTAACACAATTTTTTCTGCAGTTTCATATTATTATTCATCCAGTTTCCAATTGATTCTCAGGTTTTGTCTAGTTTTCTTTGCCTATTATCCATGCTTTCTCTGTCTAGTCATTCTTCCTTCCATGCTTTCTTGAATGACTGCATATTACACATATACGACAAATTTCAGTGTTTGTCGATTTACCAAAATAATAATGTTAGTGTCAAGATAGATGCAGTAAGTGAAGTAATAAAAGTTTGTGGTTGCTTAATTGCCACTTCCTATTTGTTAGGTGGACTCAAATGATCAGAATTTGAATTCTGTTTTGGGATGTGGTAATGATAAGACAGGAACAGGTGATGGTTTTGTAATGGATTTACACTTGGAGCTCATTCAGGCCCAACATCGAGTAGCTGTGAAAATTCTTAAAATGGCACAAGGTAGGTTTCAGTAAAGCTAAATGATCTTCATAGCTTGATTAGAGTCCTCTGTTCATATATTTTGTAATATGAAGAAATAAGGAGCATCTACTTTCTGCAGAGGGGCTGATGTTGGGTAGTTTGTATGCCACATACAGACAGAAATAATGTACTGAATTTGCAGAATTTAGATTTAACACATGATATTAGTCTCTAACCTCTACTCAATCAATGGGACTTAAACTTTGCTAACAACTGCTGGCTTTGATTCCTAGACAGTTTGTTCTGGTACTGCAGTTATAATATTAACTGTTACAGTGTCAGTAAGGGAGAATTGGGGGATGCTATGCAGAAATTTTTTTTCTGTAATGCTAATTTTCTCTCTAGAGAATGACTTGAATATTTTATTCAATGCTCTTTGTAATCTGAATTTCTCCTGTGAAGTTGTCCTTATCTCTTCCCAGTCATCAGATATCCCACTCTTGCCAAATACCTTCTGAAAAAACTCTACTGGTTCGCCTTTCCCAGTATTTTTTTTAATTAAAAGCTAGTATTAGTTTGACACTGCAGAACTCCCCTGTGCACTGCTCCCTATGATCAAACAAGGTCCCTCTTTTCCTGTGATGTTAGTGTAACTACTAAAGATGTTAGAGCATGTGGGTGAAATATTTTTAGTGGCATGATCAGTCCAAGAAATTCTTCTTGAACCAAAGAAAAGGACATGAGATGGAGCAGAGCTCCACAAAACTATGTATTAATCCCTCTCACTGATATTTTCTCAGTAGCACTATGAGAATGAATAACTCAGGAATTCCTTCCCACATAGCTGCTCAAAAGGATGACAGAAGTCTTAAGTCTAGCAAGTCTCACGTGAAGAATATTAAAGATTTCCATTATTTAACAGGTAAGGCTTATTAATTATTTTCTAGAAGTATAATAAATTATTGCTGCTGTTCTATAAATATCTTAAAATATCTATTTTACAGAGGCACTAATAATGAGAAAAATAAAAAAGAATAAGCTATCCAGAGCAATCTTTTTGATGCAAAAGGCTGCACAGAAGTTCCCTAAAGAGTTAACCACTTCTTCCCAAAGGCAGCTACTGGAGGTAATAAAAAAAAAATCTTATCTTAGAAATTCTTTGTAATTATCACAGTTTTTCATGTTCTGTATAATTAAGACTTGGATTACTCCGTCTTACAAAAAGAAGAAAAATAGAAGGAACTTGAGGGACCTTGGTTGTTTTTAACTTCTGTTGTCAAATTTTCCCTGAGAAGTTTCGTAATGATGACAGAATAAAGTGACTTAAAACAAGGAAAGAGCACATCGCCAAATGTTGAGCACACAGGAAACCTGAAAGATGTGATCTTTCTTTCTACAGCTAATCACCTAGACTTTGCAATTATGAACCTGTGCCTTGCCAATATGTCATGCAGATTTCCTTCTCCCCATTGAAACCTTCAACATCCTTCTTTTTGCAAGACCTTGAAGTTGTCTAAGATTACTTTGACTGGTGATGATGACATAGACTTTATTTTATTCTTACTGAATAAGCAGTTTAGAAGTTGGAGATTTTGGAATTGGAATCTAAAAGTAGATTCTTCCTGGGCTCATTTCGAAGTCTTTTGACATCAATGGGAGTCTTTCCATTGAGCTTTGTACAGGCATCTGTCCATTAAAATTGCCTTCTCATCCGTGGGGCATAATATTTCTTTATAGCCTGTGCAACAGATAACAGATTTTCACTATACAATATATGAAAAAGTTTTTAAACAGGAAGTTACTAGAAAGTGGTTTTATTGTAAGTGCTACAAATTTGGAAGCATGATAATTAACTTCACATATCTTTTATGTCAGAAGAATGCAACAACTGGATCAGAAAAGACATACGCTAAAAGTGTCTCTCATATTTGTAAAATATATGGCATTTATGAATATAAGATGTAGTGGTGTGGTATGGAAGTTGTAACCGTAGTCACCAATGAAGACTTTACAAGCAATTCCCAAGGAATGTGCTGTTATCTCAAACAAACATTTGTAAAGGCCTTCTACTGACCTTCACTATATTTTACTTCTGTGCACTTTTCACAGAGAAAGATGTAGGTAACAGAATATAATGTATTTGCAGCCAGTTGCCGGAAAATGTCAGAATTAACTTTGCCTGGACAAACTTAGCATGATCTCCTTTGGTATTTGTACTATGATGAAATATTTATATTCTCAATGAATTTTCCTCCTTGACGTGGATGGTGCTCACTTCATGAACAGCAAATCCATATATTTTTTTTCATGCTTCTGTGTAAAGGATTTTGCCTTTTTTTATCGTAGAACATCCAAAAGCTCTATATAGAATTACTCGTAACTTTTGGTCTTTTCTACTGTACTCAGCACAATATGGTATAATTCTGTTTGTTTTATGCTGCAAAATAGAAAAGCATTTTATTTTTTTGGAGAAACATACAAATAATAATTTCTTCATGCAGTAAACCACTAGGCAGGTATGGAAGCTTCTGAGACATATATGTTTACTCATCTACATCACACTGCTTAACTGCTTGAGCTATTGTGTGCCCTTCATTTTGTTTTATTTCTCTCACAGTTGTTTCATTCTTCCTTCCTGTCCTGTATGTCTAGTTGGACATACAAGTCTTTACAGAATTGGGTACACTGGTAGTTCTTGTCAGCCAGCTGTAAAATTGAATTAATGTCATTAAGCTAATACCACAGTGCAAGTCTGCCGAAGAAACAGGGATAAAATGTGGTTTATTACAGGGCAAGTCCGTGGCAGAAGCAGGGATAAAATATGTTTTTTTTATAGTGACATTTGGCTTCCTCAACCATAAGATTATTCTTTCTCCTTTTGCCACACTGCCACATTTATTATCTTCCAAGTTCTACAATTAATGAAGTACAGGTCACGCAGTACTGCTCCGAGTCACAACACTATCTTTATCCAACCTGGGAGCAGTTCCATCCTTGCACTAATAAGAAATATGGCCTCAGAGAAGAATGAGTCTGTGATTCTTTTAATTAAAAAGTGTATCATACTACAGCTTACCATAAAGAAGTATTATTTTTAAGCAAGCAATGGAGTTTCTAATTACCGATTGCAGAAGTTGAATGGTTGTGTGAAGGAGTCACTCCATATCTTGTTCATTATCTTGCATTCTTCCTACATTTAGTGAGGGGCTGTGCAAATGATTAGCTATGTGATGTGATTAAGGCTCTGTTAAATCTTAGCTATCTGTGTCACTATAAATCTATGTCTATTTTTTGGTGATTTTTGGACACGAGATACAAGGCTTATTCAGTCTGTGATCTGACCCGGTATGGTTGTTCTTACAACTTTACACATGTTAAGGACTGAAACAAGGGACTGTTAAGATGCAGGATAGTAGGACTGTCACTAAATAACTGATAACTTGGGATTTTCTTTTTCAGTTTATCTTTCAGACTCAGTTCAGCCTAAATCCTTGGCCCAGTGTATAGTACTAAAAGGGTTCAAATAAAAACCCTAGTTGTAGGAATATATCTTCTCTCTCTTCTCCCAGAAGGATGTAATTTGTTCAAGACATCTCCAACCTCTTCATCTCTGGGAGCTGGCCTTTTTGGCTTTCATTTGCACTGGACAGCTGCAACAAAGATATAAAAGTACTAAGTTCTTAATATTAAATTTCCAAGTTAAATTTCTCTTATCCTGACAATGCAAACAAGGTTAAGAAACCTAACAATTTGCCATTCAGTCCAACAAAAAACCAAATGTACCCTGCTCGCCAACCAAATGGCCGCGTAATCACTATGTGCAGAAGGCCCCCACATTTTTTGAAGACACTAATAGACTGTCAGTCAGCTCTCAGCTCTATCCAGCTAACCAAGGGAAGTGGCTTAGCTCTGCTTTTTCTGGGCCTGCATTCTCCTCCCTTTTCTTTATTCCTGGACTTTATTTCTCTTCTCTGATTCTGGAGTGCAGAAAATCAGTCTGACCACTTCCATAGCTCCTTCAGAAATTCCACAGATTAGGTCTCCAGCTTTCTCCTAAGTAAGAGTTGTTATCTTTTTTGTTTCACATTAGTTGTGATCACTCTTTTTTCATACAGGTTCTTCCAAAATTGGATATGCCTCAGCCCTGCCTCCTTCATATGCAACCCTGCATTCCCTTTATGAAAGGCTTACACAAAGTACCATTCATCCTAATTTAGGATGTAAGATGATATGAAAATCTGTAAAAAGTTTTCTATATAGCAGTGAATTTTTTATAAGATCATTTTGAAAACCATTTCTAAGTGTTAAATCTGTGTGATTGTTATGTTTTAATAGCTTTTCCCTTTTGTTTTAATTTAAATCATAGGAAGCACTAACTTTAATTGAGCAAGTTGAAGCTGAACAAAGTGCATTGTATCACAGTGTCAATGAAGCTATGCGCAGCAAGAAAAAAAGCAGGACTCCTCCACCTCCTGTATTACTTTCCAGATCACATTGCTCCATGACATTTAAACCAGTCCCATTCGCTTCAGATATTCAGGTAATGTTTTTCATGATGACTGCAATACACAAGAGAGCAAAAGTTGTTTCAACAGTGCTATACCATCACAGTTTTCTCTGTTGTTTTTGAGAATATTATGTTATTCTGACTTAATTAAGTATGCTTTTTATTCCCCCTGCCAGTCAATTGTGACTCAGTGTTTTGATCT